GAACTGATTAATGGGCAAGGCAAGTACATGCAAGACTTCTTAGTATAATTGATCTGAATGCTTCTGATGCCCAGTATCATAATCAATGCAATGTAAATTTTAGAACAGGGAAAGAAATTCCACGCTGCTATGTTGACTGGATCTTAGAAGATTAAATGAAATTACGACAAACAGCCTTACACGTTCTTCAGAGATTGTGAGAAACGACATAAAAGCTTTTTTTGTCACCAGAAATGATGTGTATCAAGGTAGCAATGAAATGTCATCCATTGAAACAGGTCTAACATTTTTACCTACATCCCTCAAGTTGCTATTAGGCTTGTGTAGTTTTGGAGTTAGTTTGCGCAGATAATGCTATAAGCCATATGATCAGTAGAAAAGCAGTTTCGCGTGCAGTTCGTGGTCATCTTCTGGTTCTGGCTGCATTCAAAAGCTTACGACATATCACTACCTTCTCAGGCTACATATTGCGAGGAAGATGGAGAGAGAGAAGTTGCAGGTTGTACTGATGTTGTTCCTCATAAAATTGCAAACGAAAAATCATCTTTGAGACAATTTCGTCTATGGTTTCAATATATGGATATGTTAGATATTTTGTGCAAATTTATTACGACAGAGCATACTGGTGACATTTCATCTCCAAAGTATCACATCAACGTTACCATATATGGCAGCTGCCGGGCACAATATATACACTAAATGTGCAAAAATTTACAACAGATGAATAACACAGAAAATGAGCATCCATCTGTTTTTGCTGCATTCAAGAATGGCATTATGTGATACGGTGTACTGATCTGGCAGTCATCTGATTTAGTAATAGAGCAGGTTCTTATGCGTAGTATCAAGACTACAGGTTGACACGTGGCAGGGGTTTATCAGAAATGCAAAGGCATGTGTGGTTGTTGTCAATGCCATACGCAGCATACATTAACAATGCAGTGCAAGAAGTGGTCAGTTTAGAGTTTTGCACAAGGGAACAGCACGAAGAGACACAATCGGCCAGAATAGAAAGAGAAATTCGTGACACTAAGATTATCTTCAACTTCCTGGAAAAAAGAATTCCTTAAGTTAAGATGATGCACTTCGCATTATTTTCACAGGTGTTACTGCAGATAAGCATGTAAATGTGGATACATCACGTCAATTAGGTCAAAAGATCCTTGAACAAATGACAAATAAACATATCCATGAGTATGTCTTCAAAAAGAAAGACCAGGCTGTAACATTGGATGCAAAGCAAATGATCAAATTAGATGGAGAACAAGTTAATATAGATTCCCACCTATTGTTTCAAAGATTAATTACTATCACAGAAGGAACTATGGAAAGCTTATCTCTTTTCAAGTACGAGTTGTGCACTAGTCCACCATCTCACCATCATCGGGTCTAATGTGACAGTGTTGGCAGATGCTATCTGGAGACAGCTTAGTGATTTAGAATGTTCTGAAGTTGGTGCACCAGTACAATTTGTTCTTGATGGTGGTTCATCACTGCAACGAGTTCCTTGGAAGCTTAGTATGTCTAATACTCAAATATGTGATGTATATGTTAGATCTGTACACCATAAATATGGGAAGGCAATTATTGTCTTTGATGCTTATGAGGATGGTCCTACCACAAAAGACACTACTCATCAAAGACGAACTGGGGGATGGTCTGGTACTGTAGTTAAATTTACATGAGAGAGCATGATTCTTACTGCAAAGAAGGAATTATTTCTTGCTAATAAAGAGAACAAGCAGAGATTTATCAACATGCTAAGTGAAAAACTGCAATTAGCTGGATGTGACGTACATCATGCAAAAGGTGATGCTGATTTATTAATAGCACAAACAGCATTAACATCAGCTGAGAGTATGAACACTGTCCTAGAAGGGGAAGATACAGATCTTCTGGTTATTTTGCTGTACCATGCAAATATTAATGCCCACCAGATCTATTTTAGATCTGTACATAAATAAACTACTTCACGTAACAAAGATATGGGACGTTAAAGATATGGGACATAAATCTAGTTGAATGTGCACTAGGTGCTGCTGTGTGTGACCGTTTGTTCATTCATGCTATGCTAGGATGTGACACAACATCTAGTCCGTTTGAAATTTGTAAAGGTGCGTCACTCAAAGCTTGTCAAAGAAGCGATTTCTTTCGGCAACAGACTAATAGTTTTACAAAACATGGCTCATCAAATGATGATATTCAATGTGCCGGGGAAAAGGC